TATGTTAATAAGATGGTTTCATCTTTGGTTTTCCCTTTAACTCTAAACAAGCAATCTCGAGCGACAGCTGATTAAGATCCTTGGGGTGTAACTTAGTCATCCAAATTTAAGTCCTCGATTTTACGTGATACTAGATTTATTTTTTGATTTAATGATGCTATTGTTCTGAGTGGAAAGTGATGTGCTCGTTCATAGCGACGAGTGTTTCGGAAAAAAAACATACACTCTCCGATATGTGATGGCCGTAGGCTGATGGGAATGTCCGATTGACCGGCCCGCAATTTGTGGGCAAACGATTGAATGGGCTTTTGAGAGGAGGTTAGGGCCTGTCATGGCCCAAGGGTGCAAATACAACATACACTAATCTGGACCAGATTAACATGCCAAGCCGAGATGTATTCTCCTTTTTTTTGTTTTGGCTGCGTTAGCTATTTCTCTCCTGTTGCTCAAAAAAAAAAGAGAGCTATTTCTCTCATGAGTCTTAAAAAAAATCTATTTGTCTCCTTGCTCTCCCTATGTGCAGGTTTCAACTGCTAGCTCCCTCCCACATCCCAGTCCCAGCCCAGGACTGCAAGACTGCAACACGGTTCATACAGCGAAACAGAGTAACAGAGCAAAGCATATCACTTGTTCAGATTTTTTTTTAAAAATGGCAATAACAATGTTTCTTGGTGCATGGAGACTTGGACAGCGTGTCATTGTAACTGCGTATGTTTTTTTTTCTCGAATACGCAAAAGATTTACGTATCATTATAATTAAGAAGAAGAGTTTAACCATACACACGACATGCTTCTAATGAGCGCTCTAGGGGATCTTACAGTTGTGATTGGACCTTTCTAGCATACTGTTTCGAACTTCGATATTACATAAAAGTAAACCACCGAACTAAGTGCAGCGCAGAAACCTACGGTCTCTGTTGCTGGCCGCGCGACCCTGCTTCGTCATCCGAGAAGAGTCTTCTACCAGTCCTAGCATTGGTCGTCGGGAACAGCTCGTCCAGAGCTTCCACTTCGCTCGACGTCAAGTTCCCTGCAAATAAGTCCTCGTATGCTCGCTTGGACACGGATGAAATTAGAGCTGTCGGCGGTGCAAAGCCCATCCACTGCATGAGGAGCACCTCGCCCCCCTTGGAGGGCGGAATATGCGACAGCGGCTGAGCAGCAATACGTCTGCTCCTTTTTGGCAGGGGTTGCCTTGTGGTTGCCATCTGCTGCCTTGGTGGGCTGGTGATCAAAGGCGTCATTCGCTTGAGTTGCACCTCCTCAGTGAACCAAGCAAGACGTCGGGCAGCTTCGCGTGGCATGGGCGTCGCGTCGCTAGGGGTGGTGCAGCCATCTGCGACGCCAGGTGGTCCTGCCCGTGGTGGCATGAGCTGCGGCGGCCCCTGCACTGACGACATCAAAGATAAGTCCGTAGTCCACTGAGCAGCCATTGCCGGAGAACAGGTGTCCACCAGTGGTGCTTCAACCTCCTGAGGGGCTACCGTCTGAGTAGGCAGGCACTCAGGTGTTGCTGCTCTCATTGGCCGGCTCACGACGAACGAGGCGGCAAGCTCCTCCAACATCAGGTCAAACGAGACGACCCATGCGGGAGGTCCCGCGCTCCCACACAACGCCAATGCCAGTGGATCTGGCTCAAGGAAGCAAAGTGTAGCACCCAGAAGATGAGGGGTTGTCGGCAGGCACACCCCTGCTAATGTCCCCGCCGGCTTACGCTGGCGGCGTCAGTGGCGTCGTCGTCGGCAGGTGCCGTCGGCACCCCCCATGGCCTTAAGCGCGGCCCCATCCGAGCTCGGACCGCTGAGTGGTTGGGAGGCCAGAGGGTCACCACGAGCAGAGTGCCGTGGTAGGTTGCCACCCTTCATCGCCGACTTCGTAGACCTGGGCCGCCTGCAGTCCTTAGCGAGGTGGCGGTAGCCGTGGCAGTGCAGGCAACGTCGTGGCAACCGGCAAGTTGCGACACGGTGCGAGTAGGAGAGATAGTTAAAGCATCTGTTATAAAGCTCTGCGGGGATCCTTCGAGCCTGCGGGAGCTGCTTTTGGCGATGCTCAACCGAGGTGGTCGCAGGTTGCGTCTCCTGCCATGGGAGGACCTCCCGCCACCCATCGGCGTTGGGGGCGGAGACCCTTCCACGGCGACCAAGTCATTGCCGGGCAGGGATACGGCCATCCAATGGCCGAGCAGTCAGGCCGTGCACCAGCTAGGGGCGTGGCCGACTGTGTCTCCTCCGTCTTCACCCCGGTCCCTGCCGTCCAGCATCCACGACGCCACAGCATCGAGTCATGACCGGACGAGCCTGGGCGCGCGGTGGGGACACATCTACCGGCTTTGTCGGGCGACGAACGGCGTCGAGGTAGGTGGTAGGGTTGTCGTCATCGGACTCCTCGCCGTCATCGTCTGTCCAGCGACGGCTCATCGTGCGCCCACTAGAGGAACAACCTGGGTGGAAAGGCGCCGCGTCGGGTGAGAGGGTGAAGGAGCTTCCAGCGCCGTCGAGGCCGCCCGGAGGTGGGGACGAGCAGCCGGCCATCAGATCCGCGTGCGGGTCAGCCGTGGCAGCCAACGCTGACGCTGCCGCCGGCGAGGCTAGAGGCGATAGAGGGGACTCGCTCGGCAGTGGTCGGACAGCTGGCCCGCGAGCGCCACGTGCATCGGCGTCGGCGTGAGTGCCCAGGGCAGCATCCGGCGGCTGCGGGGAGGCAACCTCCGTCGGCGGCGGCGGCGGCCGCGGCGAGGGCGTTGATGGAGCCCGCGGAGCCGCCTCGGCGCCGGATCCGGTGGGGGTGGCCTTGGTGGCGGCCACAGCGGCGGCGCCCGACGTTGGTGGTGGTGCAGCCCATGAGGGAGCACGTGGAGGCATCCCAGCGCCGAATCCGGCAGGTGCGGGTCCAGTGACGTCCCCGGCGGCGGCTCCCGTCGTCGAAGGCGGAGCGGGCGAGCCTGGGCGGTAGGGACTGGCCGCCGGCGGTGGGCGAGCCCGAGGGTGGCCGTCCGCCGACAGCGTCCTCAGTGGCGGGATCCGGCGTGGGCGGCCCGTGGGAGGCGGCCAACAGCGGCGGAGAGGTAGTCGACGGCGTTGGCCGGGAGCTCAACGCGGATGGGGGCGGCGGTGGCTCGCCTGCGCCCGCACGCGCTCGCGGGGGTGGGGAAAAGGAGCGGGAGGTAGGGAGTGGAGGCGACTGGCGGTGGCGGCGGGCAGGGGGCCAGAGGGGTCGAGGGCTAGGGTTGGGGGCGTGCCTTACAAAATGAATTTTTTCGTGGAAGCTTATTACCTCCAAGAAGGAGAAAATTGACTTGCGCACGTTTTACACCGTATGAATGCTTGACTACTCGTGTTGTACTGTATTTTTGTATGCGCGTGTGGAAGCGGAAGCAGCGTAGCCTCACGCACAGATTGATGTACAATTCTATATGCACGCTTGCACGCAGTCCAGGATGTAACAATGGGTGCAGGACATATTCTCCCTGCGCTCCAAAATAAGTATATCACTATAATATTAGCAACATTTATATCTTATTATAAAAATAGATTCAAAAAATTATCTAATGATATTAATTATGTATTATAAATATTAATATTTTTTAAAATATTTGGTCAAAGTTAAAATCATTTGCCTACTCAGAAAGCGAGAACGTCACTTATTTTGGGATGGATGGAGTAATATATATGTAATCGTCGTTTGCATGATAAGCTTCCTGCTAATTAAGGAGCTTAACCTAGGACGGAGCTGTCCCTAGAACTTCTGAAGAGTTTAGAGAGAAACACAAAGACAGGCCTGCATAAGTTTACAGGCCCAAGTGGTTTACGTCTTTGGGAGGATAAATGGATGGTTAACTTTTTCCTCAAAAATCATATATATCCATCTCATATAACATTACTAGGAAGAATCATGCTATAGTGTGACATGTCTTTAGTTCTGTACCCCTCAATATTGATCTCCTTTCGTAGGTCTCTAATGGGAGATAAGTCAACTAAATGGAATGGGCCAGTTGTGAAAGTTGCGTTTGTACGACTTGATGACCAACAAGATTCTTTGAAATGGGGTGCTACCAAAAATGGTCTTTTCAATGATGCCTCCAAATTATGAATCAAAATTTGATGCCTCCAAATGGATTCATGTGGAAACTTAATTAAGATCTTTACCTGGTTCTTAAATAAATGTGTTATTTTAATCAAGGACAATTTAATCAAAAGACGTTGGAAAGTTAGTGAAAATTGTTGTTTCGATAACAAGGAAACTATCCAACATTTATTTTGGACTACCATGTCTCTATATTCATTTGGAGAGCACCTCAAGTCTTGCTTTTGGCTTACAACTGCCACATAATGTAGCTAATTTATTTGGGGATTGGCTGCAAACAATAGCGCTAATAAAGTCGCGTCTCCAAATTTGGGTGGGGTGAGTGCAATATGCTGGTCTATTTGGTTGAGTAGAAATGATGTTGTATTTGACAAAAAAAAAAGAATTTATTCTTTTCAAAGTTTTTGGACCAAATTACAAAATAAGAGTGTTAGGCCAATTGTGAAGTGAAGTTGGGCCATGAAAATTTTTGCCAATCATGGGTGGTTGCCTTCTAATAGCCTCAATGCTTAGGTTTTTGTTGTTTGAATTTGTGCTTTGTGCTCAAAATATTGTCTATTTTTAGTTTTTTTTTGTCAAAGGCTGAAATTTCAATTTTTGTTTGGCTGAGTGCACAACTTATGCGAGGCCGAATTAAAGATTATTCCTTTTTTGTGAAATAGGGTAGTGGCTATATGAAACAGAGAGTATTTTGCGTAAGCATTGATCAATACTCTTTATTTTGCCAAAAAAAGAACCCAATGTTATTAATGTCTCACCGCTGTAATCACATACAGTACAAGCACGTTTTGCATTGGCCCGTGCATGAACACTGATGATCGCAGCCTAAAAAATACTAACCTCTTAATAATAATCATACAACTTTATTTGGTTTTGTTCAGGTCGTGTGTAGCATGATGCATCAACCTTAATTCATTTCACACCAAGCTGTAACTAAAATGTTGGCGTGTGTGAATGTTGAGCAAGGAAACCCTGGTCTGCACGAGGCTCCTGAACACCTTCTCGCTCTCGCTCTCCAGCTCCCTCACGCACTGCTCCAGCTCCTGCAGCTTCTCCAGCGCCGCACCCTCCCGCCGCTCCTCACCGTCACCCATCACCGACCTCTGCCTGCTCCTGGACAGCGGCAGCAGCCGGCTCTTCTTGGGCGAAGCCGAGGCCGGCGACGCCAACGCCGCCGCGGCGTTAGCGACGGCGCCGACCTCGAGGAACACGGCCGCGGCCGCCGCCGCGGTATCGTTGACGGCCTCGGCAACCGCCCTCGCGACCTCGGCCGCCTCCGCGTGCGCGCCGCCCATGCCGCCGCCGCCGGCCTCGCGAGCGACGGCGGCGGCGAGCTGCTCGAGCTTCCTCCCAGCCTGTCGCTGCGCGCGAGCGGCCGAGGCCAGCTTGGCGCTGTCGGGCCTGCGCACGGCGGCGCGGAGCTCGGCCGCGTGCTGGCGGAGCGCCACCAACGCCGCCAGGAACATTCCGAAGGCGTCGGCCAGGACGAGGAAGCCGTCCAGCAGCAGGCCGTCGGAGTCGGCGGTGCCGGCGGAGCGGGACAAAGCGGCCTGCGCCAGCGGGAGGCGCAGCAGCTCGTCCAGCACGCAGAGAAGCGCGCGCACGTGCGCTAGTGATAGCGGGTACTTGGGTCCCGGGTTGGACGTCCATGACCGCAGCGCCAGGAGCTGGTCATCCACGTCCGCCAGCGGGTGCGTGTGGCACGGCACGCTTGCCGACCGCACGTGCCAAGCCACTGCTAGCGGCCTAGCCGAGCTCGCCGCCGGCGGCACGGTCTTCGTCGTCGGCGCCATTGATATCGCCGTCGTCGTCACGTACGATCGATCTCTATGTTCGTGCTGTCATGATGGCTTCGCTAGCTGTGTGATTGGTGTCGGTGGGCGCGACGATGGAAGTGGAACTGATGGATCGGTCGAGCTCGACGACAAGCCAACAAAGTGTGTCCGTGCGGCGTGTATATATATATATCGAAGAGGAGAGGACGAGGAAGACGACGTCGAGAGGAAGGACGACGACGAGGTAGCTATCTGGAGCTGTTGGGTTGTCGCGGTGCTTGTCACTGTTTGAAAAGCCATGCACACAGCAGCAGCTGAGCTGAGCAGAGGTAGCTGGATGGATCACCGACGAAGTTTCTATGAAGTGGACGCTTCACACGCACACGCTCGCACGCTGACTGCAGTCACAGCCTCACAGGACAGCCAGCCCTTAGAAAGCTGTGCAAGTACGCGGCGTGGAGTTCACCGCATGCATGCCCGCCACGCACGACGCCTCGTCACTACGTCAGATTGTCACAGCAGGAACGGGGTATTTTCACTGTAGGGGTGGCTGATGATTCAGCCGCCCCTACAGTGGGCGTCCTCGGGTCCCAGCAGCCCAGCCGCCCCTATAGATGGCACTGTAGGGGTGGCTGGTAACCTGAGCCGCTCCTACAGTTGAGGCCGATCTGTAGGGGCGGCTCAATCACCAACCGCCCCTGCAGTACCTACTTATCTTTTTTCAAATTTTAAAATTTAAAAGGTTCAAATTTAGTTAAATGATAAGATAACCAAAATAAAAGTTGTAAATCTTGATGAGTTGAACAACTTTTGTATTCATCACTTTTACATATGAAATCATTTAGGGTTTGAAAATTTGGTTTGAACTTGTCAAATTTTAAATTTTAAAATGTGTAAAATATTGTTACATCCAAGTTTGATTAAACTTAAATGCTGAAGCATGATTTTAGAAATTTTTAGAAAAAAACCATCACATTTAGAGTTAGTATGAGGGAGAACTAGTTACAAAGTTTACCCACAGATTAAAAAGAGAAATCACACTGTTCTAGATGAATCTTACATGATCATAGTGAACAGTGTGATTTCTTTTTTTAATCTATGGGTCAACTTTGTAACTAGTTTTTCTTCCTCGTACTAACTCCAAATCTGATGATTTTTTTTTCTAAAATTTTCTAAAATCATTATCTATCAATTTATTTTGTTTGTTTTGTCAATATATATATATATGAAAAGTTTGAGCAATTTAAATTTTGAATTTCAAAAAAATGCAACTTCAGACAAGATTTTGGTTCCCCAAATGATTTCAGCTGAAAAAGTGATAAATACCAAAGTTGAATAACTCATCAAGATCTACAACTTTTCTATTAGTCATTACTTCATATGACAAAGTGGTAACGATATTGTTCATAAATGTGACACATCTCTCATAAGGTTTTATAAACTATATGAGACATGTGTAAGATTAGTGAACAATATGTGCTAAAAATTTGTCAAATGAAGAAATGACCAAAATAAAAGTTATAGATATTCATGAGTTGAACAACTTTGGTATTCATCGCTTTTTATGTTGAAATCAATTTGGGTCTCAAACTTTGGTTCGAACTTGTCGCTTTTCAAAATTTCAAATTTGAAAGGTTTAAATTTTGTCAAATGACAAGATGACTAAAATAAAAGTTGTACATATTAATGAGTTGAACAACTTTGGTATTCATCACTTTTTATGTTGAAATCATTTTGGGTCTCAAATTTTGGTTCGAACTTGTCATTTTTTAAAATTTCAAATTTTAAAGGTTCAAATTTTGTCAAATGACAAGATGACCCAAATAAAAGTTGTAGATCTTGATGAGTTGAACAACTTTTGTATTCATCACTTTTAGATCTGAAATCATTTAGGGTTTGAAAATTTAGTTTGAACTTGTCAAATTTTAAATTTTAAAATATGTAAAACATTGTCACATCCAAGTTTGATCAAACTTAAATTCTCCCGTTGATTCGAATTTAATAATGAAAATAACATCTTTGAATACGCAACAGAAAATAATTCAATTTGATGAATTTTACCCACAGGAAAATCCTCGTTTCTATTTTCTTTTGACCCAATTTCTATTTTTCAATTTTCTGGAAAAAAGAAAAAACGAAAATTGGGCTCATTCTTTACTGTTTCGGCCCAAAACCGGCAAAAGTTGGCTCGGTCCATCACTGCACGCGCGCGCAGGCTGCACCCAGGCCGCAACCTGGGCCTAGGCCGGCAAAGCTCCGCACGCCCGCCCGGGCCGGGACGCTGGCCCGTTCAATTTCGGCCGTCCGTCTAGATCCAACGGCGACCCGCGCGTTTCGCTTGGAATAAAACTCGACGCAGCGCACCCCCGAGGAAAACCCTAGCTCATTCTTTCCGGCCCTCTCTCTCTCTTCGCCTCTCTCTCTTCTCTCTCGTCGCTCTCCTTTCCTCAGTACAGCAGCAGCAGTCACCGAGTGAGAGGCCGAGAGCAACGACGGTGGAGCGGGAGGCATGGCGCTGTCGCCGGCCCCCTCGCCGGCGTGCGCACTCCCCAGCGGGTGAGCGCGCCGCCGTCGAGCGGCCTGGCCACAGCGCCTCTTTGGTCGGAGCCCGGCGAGCAGCGCCCCCAAGCCTATCTTCTTTTCCCCACGCGCCGACGTGCGAGCAGCGCTGCGCAGCGGCGAGGTAGGCCACCCCCTTCCCCTTCTTCCCCTTTCGGTTTTTCTTCATTTTTGTTCTCGGATTTCATCCGATTTGGGGATTAGGGTTAGGGTTTGGGGATGGGGTTTCACTATTTTCTTTTTCCCGAATTTATTTTGGGTTTTAGGGTTCGATTTTGACATGAAAACGAGCCCTGCTTCTTTAACCCAGTTAGATCTCTGACAGTCATGTGGGATGGGAGTATGGTGGTTGCTGCAAATAACCGTGGGACATGTTACATTTGGCGCCTGCTTAAGGGTACTCAGTCGATCACATTACGCAAAAATAACCGTATAAATATAGAGTTTGTGATTTCTGAATTTTTCAAATTATGTTATGTAGACAATTACCTTTGAACCTCTCTGCACAAACCGCAAGCCCATGATGGCTATATTCAAGTGCCTGCTTTCACCGAATTTTGCGATCCTAATGGGTAATGTAATAATGGTCTAAAAGGCTATTTTTCATGGTTCTTCCGGTGTATTATTGTGTCCTCTTGGGTTCCATGTGACATTCTTGGGTTTGTTTGTAGGTATCTTGCCTGCATCATCGACCACATTTGTAAAGATTTGGAATGTTGATGGCTTCAAGTTGGAAAGAACTTTAGTCGGTAATGTTTGAGTCTTCTTTTAACAATTCTCCATCTCATACTCATCTTATGTTTCGAATGAGATCCTAAAGCATCACCGGCAATCAACTTCTTAGGCCATCACTGGGTTTGGGGATTGTGTATTCTCGGTCGATGGTGCTTATCGATAACAGGTATGAACTACACCGTGTTGCCCTCTGCCTTCCCGATGATTCATCGTTTTACTGATTAATCTGTCAGTGCATTCTCTCTTGCGGCTTCTTGAGACACCACAATGAGGCTATGGGCGATGTCAACCGGAGAGGCCATCAGGGTGTACCGGTGTACCAGGGTCATCACAAGGCCACCGTGTGCTGCGCTCTCCATGATGGGGCCGAATCAGCGCCCTCATAAGCATGTTGTGACTGCTTTCCTGTACATACTTTTGATTGCAGAACTTTTTTTTTCACTCTTAACTTATGACCTGGTAGCGTTTAACGCCCAGTTGTTGAAATGCGGGGCTGTATATATGTATATTTGTGGTCACACATTGAATTTTTGTGGATGTATATATGTATATTTGTGGCGGTCAGATTCGAATTTGAATTATATATATATGGTCAGATTTGAATTTGAATTATTTTTTTTTGCTGAAAATTCACTATAGGGGCGGTTCTTGATTGAACTGTCCTTACAAATACACACAGCAGGGGCGGCTGGTGATACAGCCGCCCTTATAGAAGTTCACTACAGGGGCGGTTGAAAACACCAGCCGCCCCTACAGAGACATCCTCTGTAGGAACACCCTGGAAAGGGCGGCTGGCGCAGCCGCCCCTACAGAGGCTCTAGAGCCGCCCCTACAGTAACATTATGTAGTAGTGCGTGCAATTATGAACCAGTGGCTGAGATCACACATCTCAATCTTGTCGATTGATGCTTTGGAACGCGGAGCACGGGAATTTGCTTGTTTAGGTCAATCACAATGCTAAAAGCCTAAAACCTTATGTAGTTTCTATACATATTAATTTCTATAGACATATAGACACTGTATATAAAAATCATGGTCCCAATGGATAGTTTTTACAGTGTAATTTTCTATCCAATCACATACACTCTCTCTCTATTCTCTACCAATCACATCCCTTGATGTTTTGGTTCTCGTGTAGATATGGTTTCTAACTTAGACCCGGTTTATATGATTTTTTGTCTCTCTCTTCAATAAATACCTTGTCACATCAACAAAACGCTTAGGTGATAGTATAATTAATGCCCATAGAAACTATGATGGTTTCTGTATTGAAAGTGCCCTTATATATACTAACAAAAATGTCTGTGTGTTGCAACAGGAGAAAATGTATAGCATTATCCAAAGTCTTGACATGTATGTGTTGTTTTGTCTTTAAAGCTATAATTTTTTTATTTACATCATTATATTTTTATTGCACTCGACATTATACTAAAAAAACATATGAAAATAATTTTGCTGTCAATATATTTTATTCTACTTAAGTAATCAATTACAGACACAGCGCATGAAGGGTCAAGGGTGCACATTTTCATTTCTACTTCCTATTATAACATCCAAGAATCAACAAATGCAATTGAGAATACTACGTACCAGTGAATTTACTTAGGGTATAAACATTTCATCGTGCAATTTTTGTTAAAAAGCCGATCTAGAGCAATAACACACAATTAATTAATGAGAAATATCACCTGTGAAGCAGTTTTTTTACTTCAACTCCACAAGCA